GTTTTGGCGATTACTTTACAGCTGCAGTACCTCCAAAGTTACAATAGCTTTTTAGAAAAATGTCTCACCCAACTTTCAGGCGTGACAACTGTAAAATATGTTGTATCACCAAAAAAAAAAAATTACAACACTTCACAATACAGCACAGTTACGTTTTATCGATGTAATCAGATGGAAAATAAAAAGATTATCAATCATTTATGTTGTCTGAGGAAATATGAATGTTCGCACACTGCTATGATCTTCACCGATTCTCAGCCTTCGACATTGGATACACGACACTCCTTACTGCGCGTGCTTGAGCAAGTGCTGAGCAACGCATAATTGTGCGGAAGGTGCGTAGAATCTGCGCAGGTGCTTTGATTCAAAGCGAGCACGACCTTGACTTGTCTTGACTTGCCTTTCCTGTCAATAAAGATAGAAAAGAAAACCAAAGGGCAATCATTGCACTCGTAATATCCACAGCATCTTGCTGTAGGTGCGTGGAACCTACACAGGTGCTTCTTGACTTGAGTCAATATCAAAAACATCTTATGACATAAATCTCAGTAGGACACTTTGTCAAGACATTCTAATAAGGAAAGTTTATTATTTTCAATCCAAAATCTACTTTCTCTTTCTTTCAAAAGGTTTCCTCAAAAAAAGTACGTAATGCTGAGTTGCCATCCACCGATCCAAGACACAAGCTGTGCGGAAAGGATAATTATTGCACTCCAACATTATGCGGAAGGTGTGTGCGCTTTTTGACTTGACTTGCTTTCGTTATTAATAAAGAAATAGAAACGAAAACCAACAATCAATTTTGATGCTCCGCGTCGGTAAAGCATAATTCTTCACCAGCTAATTTAATCAAAAAGCAGATTGCGATAACGCCTTCTCTCTCTATTTGTAGGGATGGATGTGCTGGGTCAATGTCCGATCGGACTTAATATCGCGAAAGTCCCTTACTCGCTCATGTTAGCGCCTAACGATCGTTGTATGTGCATTGACATACAGTTGTGAAGAGGAGACCTATTTTATTAGAAAATCAGAAGACGACCACTAAACTCATGCGTGAAGTCACCTAGTTACATGTTTTTTAAGACCGATTAAAGATTCGATGCAGATATTTTACCAAAGATTGGAATCGGGTGAGACTCTATATCCCAAATTTGAATGGAGCTACGAGCATATTAGCACATTAAATATATTAACAAGTCTGAAAAATCTACAATATACGGATGCTGGATTATCAAGACAATTAAAAATCGATTGATAGTATATATGAGAAGGTTTGTTTGTCCTTGCTTGGGCAAGTTGGACAATTGTGACGATTGTATTTGCACAATCAATAACTGATTAAGTTGAGGCATCATGCTAAATCCATCTCATTACGTAAACGAGATAATCCTGTACAATCCTTCTTTTTTCCTTTTTACGTACTCCTCATGCCGAGTGGATGGAATCGTGAGTTCGTATTTGGGAATACATGTTATCCAAACCTTAAGTAATCCAAACCTTGTGATTGGCAGCCTGTTATCTGAACAATGAAATCCATAGATGTGAAACTCCTAGCAAGTGCATGGGAAGCTTTGATTGAAATTTGAGATCCAGCACACGTGACTTGACTTGCTTTTCTATCAATAAAAGAAACAGAAAAGAAAACTGACGATCAGTACTCGCTAAAGTCCTTTGGCATTATTGATCGGACATTATGAACCAACTATACGACAGTATGATGACATAGACTTGACTTTTCTATTAATAAGAGACATGGAAAAAGAAAACCAAAGGACAATCTTTGCACGCGTAATTTCCACGGCATTTTGCGGAAGGTACCTGGAACCATCCTATGCAGATGCTTCATGACTTGACTTGCACTTTGTTTCTTTGTTCACACTTGTGGAAAATTTTCCTTTTTAACCTTTTATTGGGGAAGTTTTTCCGGTGAAATTGAGTGTCGATGCATCAGGAGGAGGAAGGGAGTGTAATATATGCAGCATTTGGGTATTCTTGAGTTTCCATGTTGTAATATGTATGAATAGGTTAATAATTTATTCAGATTGAAGAAATGTTGAAGCATAGAAAGATCGATGGGGGCTATATGTGCAAAGCCCATAATGACCTCCAAATCTAGAAGGGGGGATCACACTAACCTATAATTGCAATTTGTATTGTGGTAAACATATTGAGACTTCTTTGATTTGGCTTCCTGTAATTTATTCAGATTGCTATACTGCATTTTGCGTTTTCTTTCAACTAGAATGGGCTATTTTCTTCTCATTCCCACCGAAGACTAATTGTTTTTCGGTTTCCGACATAATGATACGTCACTTTAGCCGTCAAGATCACGATTTGTCACTCCGAAAACTAAATAAGCGATCCAAATTATTTGCACTTGTAAACACTCGTGTATAGTCGTACAGGGAACTATTATTCACTTCCCCGATAAAGTGGCTGTCTCATGGAAAATCGCTTTTGTCCGGTCTTTTGGTATTCTCTTTTTCTTGTTCATTTTTTTTTGGTCGGAAAAGCACATTCATTCATTCAATCTTAAAAAGCTCCACTAGAGCAAGACAAGTAAGTTTCTAAACACAAAATATTCCAAAAGGCCGATGGGCTAAAGACAACCAATTGGTTGGGAGAGTTCTGTTTCGGTGGGTCTTAGCGATCCAATCCGTAACTTGATTAGCCTCGCAAGGGCAATAGACAACTTCCACCTTGTCCAATTGAGCTAACAAGGCCTGGCAGTCTTCAATGATGTCCCTAATATCCCATGGGCTTTCTTCTCGGTCCATGATGCACTCCACATCACAAAGGACAGATCTTTCTTCACGTGCAGGACAGGGCTAAGCATTCATTTACGGCTAGGGCTTCCGTGTTTATTTGGTATGGACTAGGAACCCGCGGTTATTTAATTTATTTAATCGGAACGAGTTCAATAAATCATTGGAGGCATTAGTTTTGGCTAAGTTCAGTGCATCACAACCATTAGATCATGTGGGTATCACGTAGGATGTACCAAAATTAATTGAGGTCTCGGCTTATTAGCCAATGATTTCATATTTCAAAATCTGCTTCTTTTGTATATGGGATGAGATCGGTCAAGACAGGCGTTAGGAATGTGATAATTTTGCTGAAAATTTGGATCGTAGAAAATATCACTTCAGGGACCAAAGGAGCACAATCACGTCTAGGATGCAAAAAGTGTTGTTCCCTTCACCCAAGTGCATGATGCTTCTAAATAATGTGAAAAATCTTGCACTTAGACATGCCCAAACGAATCAACTTGCTCTGGGACCATGCGATTATTGATGTACTAATTGGGGTACATCGGTCAAATTAAGGTTTGCAATTTCGAATAAAAGTAAGTAATTTTAATGCGTTGACAATCTATTAAAATAAATGTTGGTTGATTATTAATGTAGTTGATAATTGTTATAGTATAATTAGATGTCGGTACTTTTCAAAACCTTTTGATAAGTTACTAACATACGACAGGCCAAGCAACTTGCCAATCAATTTCCTTTTAATATAATCATGTTAGGAAAAGAAAATTAATACTTTAACCAAATTCAAGAAATTATTTCTTGACTATATAAAAAGAAAATTCAGGTACTCAATTACCTATGGAGCAAAAATACAAACCCTTATCATGTCATTTTCCTAGAAAAAGAATTTTTTATTTATCTCACTAATGATGTAGGATAATCCTTTACTTTTGATCTAGAGCGAAAGTTTTTGAAAACCTAGCAATATAGGGAAGGGATAAAGTTTAAAACAAATTAATTGAATCATGTAAGTCTTATATATAGGGCCCACGTGAGATCCACATGGTCAGCGGCTGTAATGAATGTGGTTTGCTGGATACTCCCCGTGGCATTGCAAGAGGGGAGAAATGAGGTTTGAAATAAGTAAGTTCTAGTAGTTTCGGACTTAATTGCAGATAAGTTTTGGAGGGAACAATGGTGTTGGTATCTAGTAACAATAATTTCAGTCCCCAATTCGAAAGGCCATTTGCTATTCCTTCCCGGCAACAGCTTCAGCTACGAAAATGTGTATTGCGGCTTTTATAATGTATTTGGCGAATACTTTACAACTGTAACACCTCCAAAGTTGCAACAATTTTTAAATTGTCTCATCCAACCTTTAGATGCTACCACTGTAAAGTTTGTTTTATTAAACAAAAACATTGCAACACTTCACAAATACAGTACAGCTACGTTTCAACTACAGCTACACCAAATAAGCTCCAACTCCCTTCTAAACTCCCTAGTCCTCTTCTCAAAATGGGGGCAAACCCAGTATCTTTCCGATTTGTAAGTGGAACAAATTCCAATTTATTTCGAAATATCTGAAGAAAATGTGCGAGCTACTTTCACTTTGCTTTTAATTACGCAAATTCATTCGTGTAGAAGAAGAATGAGCCTCTTAGATGCAACATCCAAAAATGTCAAGGGTTGTACCCGCTGTATACGAATCAACTCAAGACGCTCTCGGATTGCACTTCCGGCTTCTCCGTTCATTTCGTACTTTCAGCTTTTCTATCCGTTTGAAGTGCGATGACAATGTAGGCTCATACGACGAGAAGTAATACTCTTCGGTGGCGGATACATTAGTACATAAGGTAAGGGTGATCTAGATACAGATAATATAAAAAAAAAAAAAAAAAGGCCCGTTCTCAAGCTCCCACCTGCTCGTATTCATGCAGTTAAACGTACAGTAGAAGCTCGAGGGATAACCGGCTTCGTTCCCCGGTGGAACCGTCCGAGATTAATCCCAGTCAGTCTGTCCCCAACCACAGTTAAACATTGCATCATCCTCAAAAAGATGGAACTTAATTCTGAAAGGTCGCAGTCTAATAAGCAAAAACGTCGAGATTGACCAGGGTGAAGTTTATACTGTCATCCGAGGTCTCGAGTGCTGCCGCACTGAAATCGCCTTCATAGTAGGAGCGTGAGAGGCAGACGAAGTTATGCTTTCGCGGTGAAAGAACAAGGGGAACCTGCTAACAAATGCTCTTTACGCAAATTGAAAAGAATAAATAAAATAAATAAAAGTAAGTATTTTCAGCATAACGCAGAAGGAACAAGAAAAGAAGCCACCTAAGAGAACTAAACCCTGTTCCTCTGGTCCTTTAGCTTGCTAACTAAAAATCAGATAAACCTGCCTCCATCTCGAATATACAACGCCTTCTACGCAACACCCTAATCTCATGTTCTTCTTTTCTTCACTTTCAGTCAGCCTAAATGAATATAATAAAACAAATTATCGCCGCAAGACTTGAGCAGAAGTCGATTAGGATGCTAATTGTGCCACTTAAGACAGACTTTACTGAACTACGTTTCCAGAGGAAGTACCCGGAGGCTGTAAAATCGACCCTCTGCAGCATCCCTCAAAACTTGAATCGAGTGCGGAGAAGGAAAGCCAGTTCAGCATTTTAATGCTCAAAGTTCCACAGGGGGAGACATGGCCTGCACTACCTTTGGGGTTGCTCTGAAGCAGTCGCACCAGAGGTCGTGCTTGGCCCAGCACCATTTTCAACAGGAGGAGAAGTACCCCACTTGCCTTCAGATTCCAATGGCTCGAGCACATAGACGCTGCCATCGGTAAGCCCTAGTGCAAACTGGTTAGGTTCGGACGGATGTGCTGCAATGACTAACGGGTAGACTCTCAAGCTGCCAAATCCATCAGTGTGGAATGAATTACTTGCGAGACTAATGGAACTTCGCAAATGAGACTTGCCATTTTCATTAAAGGACAAGGTTGAATGAGCACCAATAACTAACTTACCTGGGGTTTGGAGGGATATAAGCAGCAGGATTTATACGACATCTAAATCTGAGGGTAGAAGCAGTAAGAACACCGATGCTTCCGTCTTCAAAACTCACATATATTGATTGGCCATCGCATGAATATGTAGCATGTGTGATTGGACCACTAGCTTCTCGAGTAACCCACTAGTTGAGATGAACGACGAATCAAAACAAGTACATTAGGCAAGAAAACAACTCATAATACCTACTATTTAGTAAACTTTTATGCAATCTGGATGAGATAAGACTTCGGTTTGTGCACAATACAAGAACCTTCAATACCTGCTTGAGGCAATCTAGTTTAGGAGCTTCATATATGGCAATCTGTGTTTCGTGAACCACCAGCAGATGTATCTGATCCAGGTGAAATTGAACACGAGTATCAGCAAGAGGAGCTGCGCCTCGCCCAGTTGGCATCTGCAGAACCTTACTAGCCTGCTTCTCCCATCCATCAGTGTTCCAAACACACAACTGCAGTGATGATAGACAATTATCAAAGGAGATATCAACATTGATGCACATTTGAACGAATAAAAGTTCCACATAGTGCTTTTATATCAGAATCACACCAATCATCAGTCATAAGCAACAACAGGACATCATAGCTATTTTTTTCCCACTTAATGGGATGGGATTAATTTGTCACCACAAAAGATGAAGTTTACTGGAAGGATTTATTCTGCCGGTTAATGATGCCTTCACGACCAAACGTATGATAAGGGCGTAAGCATCAATACATCCAGAGTGAACATCAACCCTTTTTTGGGGCACTTTAAACTACATTTCTCTCTCTGCCCAAAACTTAGGCATGTCTACATGGAAAGTAGGATGCAGCAGTGATCTGGTACCTGAGAGTCAGCGCCAGAAGACACAAGAACATTCAAGACATTAGAGAAGGCGAGGCCTGTAATTCTTTTCTGATGTCCTTTTAGTTTTGTCTTGACCTGAGAAAGTGAAACAGTCAATATCCATAACTTTGTCGCAAATAATAACAAGGTTCACCTTCAATGACTAAGAAAACCGGTCTTACCTCATCAACTCGAACATTGTAAATTTGAATAGAGGAGTCCTCCATTCCTATTGCAATAATGTTATTGTCCTGAGGATGGAACGCCAGAAATGTTGCTGCCGGTGGTGGGGGCATAAATGTTGTCATCGTCTGGATATCAGCAGGCAGGATAGTATTAATAACTTTATAAGTAAAAGTGGGACATATGTGCCAAGAGGCATTTGCCTCAATGGCATCTCCCTTCTTTGGAATGGGAGAGAGCAGTTTGACCATTACATCTCTGGATGGGTGAAAAAAGCTCTTGCCTTCTTTTCTTTCATTAGTAAGAGCAAAAAGATTCCATTAGAGACAGAGAAAAGCCCTTGTCTCACTTACATGTGAAAAAAGGACATATGCTGCACTTGTGACTACCACATAATCCACATGAAAATCAGAGTAATTGCTTTCATGGACCTCCTAACAATAGAGTTCAATACTTTTTATTACATGTGACTCGATTAATTTTAGCTCCCATAATAATGTGAAAAGGAAATAGTGTGTGCATATTCAGCACATGATGACTTTTTCGGCATCATTTTGACTTCACTCATCCACAAAGGGGTGGTTCATCATCCCGAGCCTTGTGGATAGTGCTACAAATAATCGACAAGAGGATGTAAACATGCTTTGGGAAAATATTCACCTTAAAAGTCATCATATTGAACAAAGAGATCTTCCCCCCTGATGCTGACATTACATAAGAATCGTTCTTTGACAGTGCAAAGCATGGAACTGCGTCTTCAGGATTTGTATCACTTATGTCATTGGTCATCAAAATCCCACTAGGAGGTTGCCATAAATGTGGTCCTACACTAGTTGTAGCCTGCGAAAAGAAGAATCAATGTAGTTAACAATGCGCTAAACAATAAAATAGCATGCCTATTTCGTGAAAAAAAATTCCTTACCTTGCCAGCTAAGTTCCGATCACTTTTTTGCCATTTCCAGAGCTTGTGTACAGCATTCGATGATAAAGCCAGAATGGCAAGACCCGAGTTTGTATAGATTAATCTCGAGACCTGCTTTATTTTATCAGCTTCAGTGGTGACAGTAAAATGCAATACCCAAAGTTGAAAGAAAATTAAAAAAAAAAAAGACCCTAAAGAACTTGGCAGTAAATGTAGATGATGCACAGGTTCGACTGCATGTTTATCCAAGAGCGTCTGTGTGCATAGGCATATGTACATATTGTATGTTTACATATCAATAGAGCATACGATACACATGACATCAAAACCCAGCTGAAACAGTTAGCAAAAAAAAAGTCTGGCAAAACATAGAACCTTCACTTAAACCATCTAGCTGTATCACTACGGCATAAAGAGAACTATGTGCTGTAAACATGCAAAAATAGAGTAGATTCACCCATGCTACTCCTTTCCAGGAATACCTATCCTTTCACCTCTAATGTTTGTGTATTTAGTTTCAGCAGGTCAATTTCCACTCAAAGTTCTGGAAATTGGCAAGCAGAAAATAGTTCAATTCACAAGCTTAGCATTTCTGACAAGCATCAAAGTGGTGCACAATGATATACTTTGCCTTCCATGTACAAAGCAAAATTCATCTGGTTAAGATTCCGTGCCTTTTAGCACATGTAACTGCACTAGAGTCCACAGAACAATCCATCTCATTGGATTCCAGTCAGCAGCTTAAAAAGTCTCCTCATGTGAATATACCACTACTTTCTAAATCAGGCAGCATCCATCTAATTATTCATCCTTATCATGAAATCTATTCATCCTCATCATAAAATTCATAACATCCACAGCCAACAAAACTCAAGCACAATTGACACTCCACATTCACAAATTATTTAATGTCCGTCTTATCTCCTAATTCTATAGTTGAAACAAGCACTTAACAATAAAAGGCCAAATGAAGAGATGACAAAGTCGTCCAAGTGTCAAGATATAATAAAATTATTCATTGGACCACAGGCAGATGAAACTAATAAAGCAAGTGCATCAATGTGACCTATTTAAATATGTGCTTATATAGTAGAAACATGACAGATAAATGCGGAAAAGAAATGCTGCATAAAAACATCCTGAGGTGGCAATAATTCGTACCCTCATAGCTGTTAAGTTATCAGGTAGTTTTATGGACCGGCATTGTGATGGTTCATTGATTTCTGTCAGTTTCCAAATCCGTGATTTGTCTCCTGACTCATCGGCAAATTTGGGCTTTACATCGGCCATGATCTCACTGTTCTGTAGAGCTCAAAAGAGAGGATATCATCTAAAGATGTCCAATGAATATGCACATAAAAAATGCAATTACTGCACCACTCAAGTAACACAGTAAGCAACAAACGAAGCTCCATAAAAACATTTAACTACCTAAGGCAATAATAATACCACTTACCATACCAACCATTGCTGCCACTGGAGCACCTCTATCACCCAGGCTTGCCCCAACAGTAGCATTGCCAGAACCAAATGCTGTGATTGCTGGTGGCTGCATAAAATTCAAGAAATTTAGCAAGTTCATCCCTATGAAATCAGTGCACTCTTGAAATTACCTTCACAAGAGGTCCAGGAGTGACTCTAGAAGCATCAAAAGGCCGATTTTCCACAGTTCTTAGCAGCCTAATCCCATCAGCATTTGCTAAAATTTTGATGCTATTGTCACTTGTTGAGACGGCTAATAGAATTCCTTCCTTGTTAAATCTAATACAAGGTGAAGCCTGCAAATTTAAAGAGAGGTAATTAATAGAAAGGTTAGGTTAATTCAGCCAGAATAAATTAACAATAAATTACCGGCAATCCACCCTCAGCATCGATACTTGTCAAAATATTGTTATTGTCCATATCCCAAAATTTGACCATGAACTCGTCACCAGCAGCCAAAAATCTGTTTTTGGTGGTATCAAACTGCACAACCCCACCAGATCTCTTTCCAAGTCCATGATACGTACGCTTGACAGCCCCCTCACTTTCATTCCATTCAACCAAGTATGACTCTCCTTCTTTATTGGTCCCACACGAGAACAACCTATAGCAAAATAAAATCGCTAAATAGGTTATTTCAGTCAAAAAAATGACACAGTACGAATTCAATCTTGAATGCTGTTGATCTGAACCTTGTTCCATCAGCACTGTATGCCATCATGGTAGAAGAGTGTCCCGGCGCATCGTAGTCAACTCTTGACCCCACATTGTCATAAAGCCAAGCCTTAATTTTTCCATCCGTTGCTGTTGAGAAGATGAACTACACAAGATAAAAATTGTATAATCAATTTCAATGGCAAGCCCAAATAGAAGGCTTCTTCATACAGAAGCACCAGGGACTGAATAAAGATTCGTAAAAGCACATCCACTTAAAACTCTAGTTATGAGATCATAACATCCTAGGATGATGGGTTAATCATGAAATATCTCTGTGATAGAGTGCACAAAACCATGAAAGTTCAAAAGATTTAAAACGAAAAAGATAATATCGCCAATTGCTGCTCCGCTCAGACACAGTAAACAGCCTTCCATTATAAATTTAACCAATCAGAAATGAAGGAGGCAATTATGGGAGAACAAATGTTGGAAGTGGAAAGGAGAATTTTCCTTCTGAACACATACTTGAGCAGTAAGGTCATTATTGTGAAGACCTTTACCCAGTTGTTAATGCTTAATAGCATCGCCCGAAAGAATCAAATTTGCAGTTTGATCTTTGGACCATGTCACCATTTTAACAAGCACATTCTAATCAATACAGGTTAAAAGTTGGAAGACTTGCAAAACCCTTGAAATGAACAAGGTCCACGAAAACTACAGATTCACACTTCTCATACAAATTGAACCAAATTTTTTCACCTAACCGAGTTTTAGCAAACAGAAGTCCAGTGAATAGTCGAGGGTACATGCCGATTCGTCATGCTTTCAGCATGTCCTTATTTATACGCCACATAACCAGGTACCTGAATATTTTCTTTGTGGTGTGGACATATGGAATATACAGGTGCTTCATGACCCTCGAAACTGAATTGCTTAGCCCCAGTCACTGCATCCCATACCTGCATAACTACTAGCCTGGGTAAAAGGAATCAAACGGCACAACCCTATAGCACTGAGGAAAACAAATCAGAATATACCTTAATTGACCTGTCCTCTCCACAGGTAACAACACATAACTGTTTGTTTGGATATGAAAAGGCAAGATCATTAACACTTCCAACATGAGCCTCGATCTGTATCAGACATTAGTTTAGGGTCAAAATCGAGTTAAACTCACACTTAGATAGTAATTCTCTGCAGAACAAAGAAGCTTAATTTTTTCTCCATGTTTAGCAACAAACCTCAAGGTGGTTCCTTATGTCATCACCACCATGATATGAGTATATGTGCACCATGTGTTTGGAATAAGCAACACCTAAATAGAACACCACAAATCATCAGTGATAGCAGCATATGAACACTTCTTCCTAAAAATATTGCAAAGAAGCCTAGTTCTCGGCGCCTTAGGTTTTTCATCAATTAGCAAGTATGTACATACCGAAAAGGGTTCCATCGGGACTCCACATTACACGGTTAACTGATGCTGTATAATCATTGGCCAGAGATGCCTACAAAGAATCAAACCCATAATCACATGGCCAAAAGCAAAATACCATGATTTTATTTAGAAATGAATTTCTATACCTGCAGCGTCACTGAACATGCTCCTTGATCCCAAACCTTGAAATGTTTTAGAGCAATCCTTGCACGGCTGCCTACCTCCCATACCATGATATCACCCATATTTGTTCCCACTAAAATTATTGATACAGAAAATTTGAAGAATCAGATCCCACGGTTTCAATTAGCTGAAACTAATGTCAAAAGGACAACAAAAAGCAATCTTCCGAGCATCAAAAAGCAAACTTATGCCCTACAAGGGGAAACAAGTATATCAACTGAAGAAAAGCAGGAACATGTTCTTCACAAGAGTAATAAAGATGTGCTAACCGAGCAGCAGAATTTGTTGCACTGGATGGAAATCCATGCTCCTAACAGGTGAACCTTGATTTAGGGTCGTGACTACATTTCTGGGCAAGTCATCTGAAGAATAAGAACTCTGACCGTGGCTCTGGCTGTTGTATGTGACAGGCATAATGTTTACCGGCAAATTATTCACCTAATAGAAAGTCATAAAGTTTACAAAACCAGTGAGTCTGATAGAAAATTAATGAAAGCCATGACACTCAAAAGATGCAAAAGCCATATGAAAGCCCCTGTTTTACTAGCATACATGACCACAATCCATGCATGCTGGGAGAAGATGTAATTTACACCTACCTAGTTCCCGCTCCTTATTAATGCTGCCAATATTTGACACAGGACCATTTACACGCCAATACCAAACACGAAATACGCAGACACAACCCAATATGACACATCACAGTACGTTCAACCAGTTTATTGACAAGATGTTTACATGTTTTAGTCTAATTCATTGGTTTGACATGTTTGATAAAAGTTATGATGTTAACATGAATTGACACAACGACAAACACAATCAAGACACGCGGACATGAATTGCCAATCTTAGCCCTTTTGCACCTCTTTCTCTCCATCAGACTTTATTGTAATACTTCCAATCCCGAATTAGCTCCAAATGGGTTTTCACCGTTTGTATATTCGGTTTCCGGTGAATAACAATCATTAGCTTGTCGGCATAAAAGTTAAGGGTATATAGAAACCTCAAAACTATAGTTTCTCCGAAAGATTCTCAATGCGTGATCTTATGCCGCAATAGTACCCAAGTGAGAAAGTTTTCAGAAGGTTTTCATTCGATGGAGCGCATGAAAAGATCATTAAGATATAGAAATGCAAAAGAAGGGGCAATATACTCCAGCTCCACTTTATAATTGAGGAAAACTGGAAATCCCAACTTGCATGAAAAGAATAGAAGTACATGTAACAAGTCCGATGAATGTTGAGAAAAGCATTTCAGACATATCAGATTGTTAATCACCCAGCAAAGAACTTTTTTTGTGGATTGACCATCCAGTAATAACTGAACAACGATAAAGAAAAAGCAAGATGAAATAAGTACTTCATCTGAGATTCCAAAAGGTCTTGATCTCTTCAAAACATGTTCAGAATCTGCTGTTTGGTAGTCCATGGCTGAGTTGTTAGTAGGAGGAGTCCTGGGACGCTTTAAGATAGCTGTATCGCAAGACAAAAAGTAAATAGAATGACAAACTAACAGCTTGCACTTGTGGAAACCACAAAATCAAATTTCACTGCTTTAAATCTGCATATTATAAAGCCTCACTCCTAAATAATATTTTACATGTTCCGACAAGATACCATCCATATTGCAACTTCTCATAGACCTAGATATTTTGCAATGGTAGCCATGAACTTGAAATTGACATTGTAGAGCAGCTTCATGTACCTGTATTATTTTGTGCGGTCAAACCTATCGGTCCAGCAGATGCTGAGGGGTGAGGTACGGGGTTTGGATTTGCCATCCATCCTGCAAGAGTCGTTGGAAGAGCAGCCGGAGCAGGCTGGAAGGGCTGTAGTAAAGGATGGGGAAGGCACAAAGAAAAAAACACCAACATGAGCTGCCAACATCTAAATGGAAAACCTATCGGGGAAACAGGCTAATTATTCTCCTCCAAACTTACAGCATGAGCAGCCAACGGCGGGAAGGCCCCTGGTTTGGGGACGGCACCCATTAAAGGATTAGTAACAGGGGATGGCGCACGAGCACCATTTGGTTGTCCACAAGTGTGGTCTACAAATAGAGTCTTTATGTCAGGGTTAGGCCTAGGATTCTTGCATAGCTGATGCTGCCAATTTAAACTGCCAGAAGCCATGAAACAGTGAGTACGACAATATTTTTTAGTTAAGAGAATACGTAGAACCTTAACAGGAAGGCAACAGGAAAGCAAGGACCTCTGATTTATTAATGTGCGTAATCTTGAGTTTTTCAATGTGGGAAATTGAAGCTTATCACGAAACAGGGGGTTAGCCTCTATCAACTTTTTCAGTTCAGCCAACATTATACTCCGAGCTGACTTGGTATCACCATACTTTGATAGTTGCTCGTTCTCCCTGCAAGCAGGACATATGTTTACGTCAATGTGATAATAGCAAAAGACCAGAGGTCAACTATAGAAAACTGTCAGTTACAAATTAAAGATTCTCCAACGCAAGACCTCGTACCTAAAGTTCTCCAACGTCAGCAACTGCGTAATTTCCTTGAACAAATCCTCATTGAATGCAGCAAATACTTTCAAGTCCTTAACTAAAATTTCCACGGCTTTAGCACGATCCCTCCTGCAATCGGTCAATAACGCAAGACCAACAACCAGAAAATTAAAAATGCTTGTCGCCCGGCAACCTAACAGATACTCAACCAACAAGCGGAAATGAGCTCGAGCAAATCGAACCCATCAATCGTCCAAAATTTTTTCGACCTACTTGTCCAGAGCTTCGAGATACTTCTGCTTCCGAATCTCGAAGAAAATCTTCATGGAGTATCTATTATCGTCTACCTTCGTGAACCCAGATAGGTACTTCTCCACATCATCCCACTCCCCGTTCGTAACCAAATCCTCGAAGTACCTCATGTTGAAGAAGAACCCCGACTCCTGCTCCAACCTTCGACAGCACGGGGGGGAAAAAACCAACATCAATTCAAGAGGCATACCCTCGCCAGGCGAGCAAAATTCCAAGCTCGAACGACACGAAAGTACGCGACGCACGAGAAAAAAAAAACACAAAACGACAACAACAGGGAGGGAGGGGGGAGGGGGAGGGGAATTAAGGGGGCGTACTTGTGAACAGTCTCCCTGAATTTCTCTTCGTCCAGGAACTGGAGGATCAGGAACACGAGCTCCCTGCTGAGCGAAGACATGCCTCCGTCCTCCTCCGAGATCTAAAACCCCTCCGCAGATCAACGCCTCCAAAGCAGCAAATCCCTAAATCGCACGCCAAGGCCCAAAAAAAAAAAACCGCATCGCGACCACCACGTGAGCAGGCGACAAAAGCACGACCAAACACCAAAACACAGAAAAGCAACAAGGAATCGGGGAGCGACAATTGACGCGACAAGCCGACGAATCAAACGGGGCGCAGAAGCTCGAACCTGCGAAGAGATTTTTGCTCCGGAGACCAGTAGATCGGGAGGCTCCCCGAGCTAATCCTCGCGGCCAAATATACACGGCACGCCTACGGCCCCCTCTCTCTCCTCTCCTCCCTTCCTTCTCCCTTCTCTCTCTAGTTTTAGCTTCGCACTAGTTTCTCGCTCTACTTTCTCTCTCTACTGGTACCGTGCTGGGGTGCTTATATAGAGGGAGGGGGAGGAGAGGAGAGAGAAAGGGGGTTAGGGATTCGGGGAAGAGAGAGAAAGGGAGAGAAAGGGAGATGTGAAGGGAAAGAAAAACAAAGGTATCCAGACAGCCTTAAATACCGCGAGGCGAGCGGACGAGACGACGAGATTTTGATAGCTTATCCACATGATAGGAGGCCCTACCTGCCTATCCCCGAGTGATAAGCAGGTCCGCTTATCACCGGATAGGCCCCCGGCGGCTTATAAGTGCGTTGTCGATACGCCTAGATTTGGAACTGTATCCGGCAGAAATAGCGGGATTTCCGAAGCTTTTGCTTGTTGTAATGTTTCCTCCTCTTCGCGAAACGCATTAGCAAAATAAAAATTGCGTTTGAAATTCCCCGAAAATTAATAAAAAGAAAAAATAAGGAGAAGAAGGAAATTGGCGAATCTATTCGTGCGACGGGAAATTGGTCGGTACCGCGATGCCACTCGCTTATCACGCCGCGTATCATGTTGATCCCCCGCACGAGCTGATTAGTCAGCAGATCTTATCCACGTCCCGCTCGATATGGACAGAAATCCGTGACCCCGAGCCATCGACGACATCATATTTATCGCTCGATTCGAGTTGCTCTGTACGGCGCTTACATGCCCGAAACGCATTGAAAAACGACGGAGCCCATTTTGGGGCGCGCGGATTTTCCCCCTTCTGGATTTTCGAGGGATTAATACCTTTTCAGGCCTTCTAGCTAAGGTCGGAAATTTCCTAGCAACTTTTTAATTCGGCAAGATTTAGTGTGCATATGAGGGCATACCTAATAAGTCCTCCCATTTTCAGCCTATTTCCATATTATCAATATTAATATTATCATTATCATTATTATTATTACATTTTAAGGACAAAAGAAAATTGAAAAGAAAAGGGGACAAGGGACAGGGTGGATAGGACTTGTTTTGGGGTTGGTTGTGAGGTGCAAGAGTGGGGAAGGGGACGTTTGGGCCCCCTATGGGGAGGGTGGTTGGGGTCAATTCTGGCAGAAGGCGACGTCGAATTGACACGTTTCGAAATTCCATTGGACGGATTTGGGGAGGAAAGGAATAAAAAAATATATGTTTTCCTGTCGCTGATCGATTGGCCTAGGTTAGGAAAGGGCGTGGAAAAATTCGAATAAGGGAAGGGCGTTATTCTTAGAAACGTGGATCGTATTTGAAAATAATTTTGATTTCATCCCCTCATTTATTTTTTTAACGTTATGCTCGACTGCTCGTGATTAAGAAAATAAAATAAAACTGATAAAAAAAATCATGGAAAGTTTTACTTTTTATACTACGGCGCGCTCGTGTTGATTCTTCTTTTCTTTCTCACGTAGTAAAATAATTAAATTCTCGACTTGTCGTTTTTGCATGAATTAATCCGCTCATCGAAAAATCACGGGGGTGTAATAATACGTTAACCGGAGGGTAAGTTAAACTTTAGGGGCGCCTAATAATTTCCTAATCGAGTATTATCGTGATGTGTTTGTGCATTAATTGTTCTAGCCCAAAACAGTAATTTTTATATATAAAAAAAAGCTGTATATGTGTACGTGCTTATGTATGTATGTATGTGAGTATATACACTGTAGAAGTTACAGCTACCTGCGACACGCGTACAACTTTGTCAAAACAAGCTGATGGTGATGGTGCTGGTTTTGGCGTTGCGTGGTGCACATTTATTGGGAAACGAACTTTGATGTTTGATCTATCATTTTCTTTTTTATTTTTTTTTTATTTTTTTGTGGTTTTCTTTTATAATAGCATTTTTGGCTGGTCATGGGAACAAATTATCGTCGCAAATGCCGTAGGCACGAGGTTCTCCTTCGATGACAACGTGCCAAATGCGTAGGGTTTTCGTCCATCGAATGGGCTGACAATGCAACAGAACAATAAATAAGTTAGAAAAGGATGGATTTTGATTTTTCTTACATAGCGATAGATGCGACGAATGAAAAGAGAACTTGCGACATGATTCATAAATCTGGCACCAACCCTGAAGTATTCACTACCTGGAACAATCACGTATCGAGTACTTCTTACAAGACTCTGACTCGTGTAAACGAATTCGCTCGCTACAAGCCATGTCATAGCAGCGATTAGGCGGCACGGCATGAGAACTAAGTGTCGTGACCACCTCTGAACTCGCCGGTGACGAAGCACTACTCGTTCGTGTCTTGAGCACCTCATCCAAGGAGTATTGGTAAGCACTAAGGCCACTCATCTTAATGGTGCTCTCACTTGAGTACACTTAATATTGGAGTTCTAATGCTAAAATTTCACTATACTAAAAAGTGTTTCTTGTGAAATAATTCAAATGTCATATATCAGAAGCACCTATATCCTCTCGTTCAAAGTGTAATTTGATAAATGTCCGCCGATTTTGCCATCTTAAAGCTTACCAAGAGCACGCCTTATTCAAGCCTCCTTGGCCATGGCAATCACTCACCACCTTTTTAGGACCAAGCCGTTGTAGGCACCCCAGCTTTCACAAGGTACATCCTTGATCCACAAACTTACTAAAAGAGTTGTGCTTTGATACCGTATTACGACATGTTACCTTGAGTTATTAGATGTTTTATCTATTTTGACATGTCTCATAGTTTTTGTTAAGCACATTTCCAAGAGGTAACCATTTTAGCAGTGCTCTCACTTGAGCATGACTAAATTGGGGATATCCAATGCTAAACGTTATCGCTATATCGAAAGTATTTCCTATCAGTTAATTATAGTTTTACTTTTCTCACTCATATAACCCAATGTACACTCCTCCATATTTGTTGTGTGATTCGATTCAGTCTAGCCCCATTTGTCATCTTAGAAACTTATTAGGATTAGCACCTTATTGGATATCTCTTGACTCCGATGATCACTCCCTTATCGTGTCAAACAAGGTCCTTACAATGGGGGCCTCCTCCAGAATCCTACTTACTTGATGCGGTCTTAGGCTTTAAGTTATAGTAGGAAAAATTAGCCAATCAGTCCTAAACTTATTATACGGACATTAATTCAGTCCTAAACTTTTCAATTTTATCAATTTAGATGCAATTGTTTCACTGAAAGCGTCATGACAATGGAAAATTCCATGAAAATCATTCTCAACGAAAACGGTTAGTTTTTATTTGTTTGTGGTTTAGGGAAAATGTTTTCCTTCTTATCAGAAGAAGAAGTCATTTTCCCCAAATATAAGCTTGTGATCTTATGTCCATGAAAAACGTTTTCCATAAATCGATTAGTTCGCCATCATTCAAACACCAGAAAGTCAAAATAATTTCCCAGAAACAATTTTCCTTAAAACAAACGGACCCTTAGTCCTAAGCCTCTACGCGAGTTTACAATGTAGTCCTTTTGCCAAAAATCGCTGACATAGCGGTCCAGTTATCGTCAATCGTCTTAAGCGGCACCACCACCATGTCAGCGATTCCCAATGAAAATTGACTGAAATGACTATATTAGAATTTTGCTCAAAGGTTTAGGACAAAATTGACAAAATTTAAAATTTAAAAACCGAATTGGCATCGTACAATAAATTTAGGACCAATTAGACCCGTCAATAATAACGAGGACGTCAGTGCGCTAATTCCGAAGTTTGCGATACTCCAATTCCTTCGAAATGTAAGGACCTGTAGCTTTGTTCATAAGTGAAACTCCCTCTTGGATAAACCTGTCAAATGAGTGGGTCAAGTCGGGCTTGGGTAGGGTCGAAAATGGTTCGACTCAAAGTGATCCATTTAACTCATTTTTTATTCATTTCCATGTAATACAAATCTAGTGACCCATAGTTGACCCAACATATACTTTGACTCAATCCATATTGTTAAAACGCTTCCATATTTAACACAATTTAAGAAAACCCATACAAAAACTGAGGTGAGAACGCAGAATGAGCTAACACGAGATCAAGTAAAGAGAGACATATAGGTGAGTTGGGTCTAAGTAAGTTATAAATTAATTTAACACCCATGTTATTTGGACTTTACATTCTTAATCCATTTATGACCCATTTACCGAATATAACTAACTTACGTAACAACTCAACCTATCGAATATGGGTTAAGAGATGGGTGTATAACCGATTCCGACAAGTCTACTTTCAGATGACTACCATCCTGAGTGGTCATCTGAATATTCCTTTTAAAGGGCGCGATGCGTGTGAATTGGGCTTAACCACCACCATGAGTGGTCATTGAGTTAAAGTTGTTTAAATGCTATCTAAGCTTGTCTGTATGCACTGAATCAAAAACGGGTCTTGCAGTCTCCTTTACCAGGAGATAGAAAATTTTGGTTTATTAATGATGACCACAACAAAACTATTTATTGTACTTTGTTATGATATATTCCGAATCACTTTACATCATGTGAGAGAGAGAGAGGATTGAGTATCAGAGGTCACTCGTTCAAAACTCCCGGTTCGTATGTAAAATGATCTAGGTTAAGGCCGTGACGCCACAAACTTGAACTTACTCAGGTTTATGAGGAGTTTTTACATTATTCTTTGAATTATCGCGCGAAGGAGAGAGAGTCTGGGAAACGTTTCATAGACAACTTTCGCTTTCTAAAATTTGTTGGGTGAAATTAAGATGGGTAATTGCTTCAAATAGGCAATTTCTTAGGTTCAAAGGGTTTCAAAATAATTCTGTCGAATACTATTTTGGTCATACTTTGAAAGTGCAGAGCTGTTTTTTGAAATTGATCTAAGCTCACCTTATGGAGAGAGTGAAGGAGCAATGAAAATAACTTAGAAATTAGAATCAGGTTTTTCGTAAGGAATGATAACGAAAATCTACAGTTAAATTCTATAGAGCACAAATCTTCCTCTTTTTATTTTTCCTTTTTTCAATGTAAAGAATAGGATTAATACCACCGAAAACTCCAAACTAGTACATCTGTGATAAATTTACCCCAAACTAATTTTTTGACCACGGAAAACTACAAATTGGT